ATATTATATCTTCAGCAGAATCCAAGGGCAAATCAGTTCCTTCCAGGATTGTTTTTCTTTAGATAGCAGTCCGGGGAGCTGGGAAATCAAAGTTTGAACTGCCCCCTTTAAAAATACCCTTTCTTCCATGTATAAAAAGAGCAGGTCAGTGTTTTGCCAATTGGTGATAGTTTTGTTTAGGATATTCAGAATGCACACATTAATGGGTGAAGGAAAGATGGGCTTGAAGAGACGCAGATAAACAAATGCATTGAACCCAAAGTAACCCAGACAACCTGACTGCCCAGCAAGATGAAGCATGCATTCTTTCTGCTACTGGGAGCCCCATATTCTTATCAGATGGCAGGAGGCCTTCCCTTAGGAACCAGTCTGAATCAGTCTGTGATGAGGTTCTGCCATGGGAAGGGCCCAGAAACTCACATGCTTTCCTATTGGATGCTCCTACTCTGAACATAGTCCAATGACCAAGATTATTTCATCCTTTCTTATGGAAGGGGAAAGAGCTAAGCTTAAGAATGGGTGGGCAGCCAGCCCAATAGAAATAACTCTCCTTCACAGACTAATGTTCATGTTAGACTCAGGCCTTGAGCTGTCAACAAAATCAGCCCTGGAAGCTAGCACATCTAACTCCATTATGCAGGCCCAGCAGAAGGCTGGACATGGGCAGGGGAATCACTAACGCTTTGAGATAGCAATGGTTTTCTGCATTCCCTCACAGCTGGGAAGATGGATTCTAGCATTCTACTTGACACATCCTTACAGAAGCTCATGAATTTCAGGGCTTTCGCAAACCCTTAGCTCAAAGGTTACATGTACTGCATATGGCAAGTTGATATTTGCATCATTCACTCTAATTGCAAATTCACGCGATAAGTGTCACCAATTTGGACAGCTGAAAGCGATTGGACAATTCAAGGTGGAAGAGGCTATCTATGGCTACCAATCCGGATGATCACATACTGCCTTCAGTGACAGAGACAGTGTGCCAGTGTGCACAAGTTGCTGGGGAACACGGGGGGCAGGGGGCATGCAGGTTTCCCTCTGGCAGCTGCTTGTTCACCACGTGAACAGAATGCAGTACTAGAACAACTCTTGACCTGCTCCAGCAGAGCTGTTCTCATGTGTCAATTAAAGTATCAAGAATGTGGAACCACATGTGGGAAGAGCAGCATATTTAGGAAGGCCAAAGATTGGAAGAAGAAAACAAAATAAAGGAACAACCCTCCTCCCAATCAGCCTCATGAAGGTTGAATAAATGAGGGAGCAGCACAAAAGAAAGAATGAAATACGTTCTTTGGAGAGGGAGGCTGAAATCCTGACTAAGAAACATTCCCATTAGGTAGGAGTGATAGACTGCAGCATTTTCTTGCATGGCCCAAGTTGTGATTGCCATAGCAGTCTTACATGTGACTTAAGATTTAGTTTTCAATAGCCCTTTTCAGAGAATTTTTTCAACTATAAAAATAAGGCAAATCAAAAGTGAATTTTGGAATCTGTGCAGGATTTGATTTATTGATATTCTCCGCCTTTCAATGGCTATCCAGCAGTTTTAGTCTGCTGCTAAAAGTTATGCACTGTGCTGTCATGTAAACATTTCTTTATTTTAAACTGGGGAGGAGATCAAAGAGCCAGTCATCCAAACCACATGCTTGGCTGCAATACGCTCTCTGCTCTTTCTTATAATTTCACACATATCTGAGGGTTGAATCCATGCACTGAAATCAGGTTCCAGGAATATTTGTACATGCATGTTTCTAGCATCTGGTAACTTGCACGTGTGAATGAGGCATCAGAGGGCAAATGCCAGGGCAGCACTTTCATGTGACCTCAAGCAAATTGTGACTAAAGAAGTGAGTCATTATAGTCACACATTTTGCTGTCTGTCACTATATGCCATTAGAACATTAGAGGGGCTGTGCTGGATCAGCTCACAGGCTCATCTGGCCCAGCATCCTGTTCACTGAGTGAAAGCACCCCTGGTCACAAGTGTGCCATGGGGGGCACTTCCAGGTGAGGTGTGTATGACTTCATCAACCTGCTCTATTCCCAGGATTTTTCAGCGGGACCAGCACCCACATTCCAAATACCTCGGCTCAGTCAACAGCTCAACGGAGAGTGCAGCCAAAAGATCCAAGGAAGACTGAGACTTGGAAGGGCAGCAAAGAAGGATCTAGAAAAGACTATTAAGGGGAAGGACATTTTCCTGGAGACCAAAGCCAAGATGACCCAAACTATTGTACTTCCAATCCCAATCTATGGGGTGTAAAAGCGGGGCAGTGGAGAAAACTGCCAGGAAGAAAATCGATGTGTTTGAAACAAGGTGCTGGAGGAGATCTTTGTGAATATCCAAGACTGGCAGAAAGATAACCAAGTCTGTCCTAGATCAAATTAAGTCAGAGCTTTCACTAGAAGCAAAAATGACAAAACTGAGGTTGTCCTACTTCCGACACATCATGAGAAGGCCCAACTCACTCGAGAAGACAATCATGTTAGGGAAAATTGAAGGCAGGAAAACCAAAGGGAAGGCCAAATATGAGATGGATCAAGTCCATAAGGGAAGGCACAGCCTTGTACTTGGGAGAACTGAATGGAGCTGTCACGGACAGGACTTTGGAGGGCTCTCATTCAGTCGCCTGACTTGACAGGACATCAGAAGAGCCATGTGTCACCCTCTCCAGTGTGTAGCCCCCTGTCTTCCCTGCTTCTTTCATCATCTTCTCACCAGGAAAGGAATCCATTAAGGAAGGAAGGGAGGAATAGTTGCACGATGCCTTCAGGCTGGTAATGCTTAGCCTCCTCTGCTGTCTCTTCGATTGCATGCTCCTCGGGGCAGAGCTATGTTGCTAGCAAAGCACCAGCTGGTGGTACTGTTCCAAAGCTGATAAACGACAGGAGGTCATTTGCTCAGATTTCATCAAGAACCCTGTAGCGTTCAGTGTTTTTCCTGCCAAGATTGCAGCAGGGCTGAGTCAGCATGGCTGGTCTGAGGTAACCTGCAAGCTGGCACCTGTCCAGAGATACTGGACTACAGTTCCCATTGCCACCCACCCACAGGGACACTTGGCTGGCTGGGGAGGATGGGAATCACAGCCCAACACCTCCATGAAAGGGGCAGGTTGGGGAATGGACAGCAAGAAGTTGGATGTGACCGGTGGGCATCCTGTCTGGTAGCTCATCTCTTGAACTGCCAGGGCCTCTGGAGAGTCGGGGATGCAGGGATGGAGAGGAGGGTTGGGCAGGGGGGCTGCAGCTGGATGGTGGGACACCTCCTTTGCCCACAGTTCAGTCGCCAGCACCTCCAGGTAGGCCTGGGAGGGGAAATTCTCCCTGAAATCCCACAGAGCCGTAGTCTGTGCCAATGAGGCTGAAAACAAGGTGGAGCTGCAGTCATGGTCTGCTGCTGCTGTGGGGGGGCATCTTCCGCTGCTCCACTGAGATGGACGGCTGTGCATCTTGGCTCCCTCTGCCTCCGAGTAAGAAGATCTTGGGGACACAGAAGCCCCAGGGCTGAAGCCTGCCCCGTTTGGATGAGTCTGCTCATCGTTTGTGGGGCGCAGGTTTTAGTGGTGTGGTATGTTTAGATAGTGTTTCCTCATACTTTTGGGATCTCATTGTCTGTGCCTGCATGTGTTTTATCCAGTATGCTTCCTTGGGAGAATGTTGACCTTAAAGATGGCCAGAGCATTATTCCTAAAAATTAAATAAACAGAGGCGGTTGTAACTTCCTGACGGAGCCCCTGCTTCGCATGCAGATCGTCCAAGCGGCTTGTGTGACACCCGGGACAGCGGCTGCCTGGCAGGGCAGTGTCCCCCCGTGCCGGGCTGGATGGCCCCCTGGGCTGATTCAGTGGAGGCAAATTCCTAGTTCCCGTCCTCTTCGGAGGATGACTATGGGCAGACTTTGCAGCATGTCTCCATCTGCCTTTTCAATACCTTCTTTGGCTGGAGGACTTGGAGAAGATAGAGATCTCCCCCTTTCCCAAATCATTCCTCTCTCTCCCCCTCCCCCGCCGACACACACACACACACACACACGAGTGTCGCTGGATGAAATTTCGGCGCACAGTCTCCTCCTTACCAAGCAGCGTCGGCGGGGAGAGCCCTTAATCGCGCACGGTGCACGTGCGTGCATGCGCACTTACTCCGAAGCAGAAGCCTCTCTTGCCGCTTCTGGACTCCGGGTTTCCCTCGCTCCTGCCCCTCCCTCCTCGTCAGAGAGGTGCGGGTGGGCGGGGGATGGGGGAAGGGAGACTCGCTCAGGTGCACACACCTGCTGCTCCCCCCAACCCTCCTCTTCCTCCTCTTTGTGCAGTGCAGGTAAGCCATTTCCCACGCACACCCACTTCGCATCCTCTCTCTCCGCTCTCCCCCGTGATGTCACACCTACTCTCGCAGGGCATGATGGGAGAATCCCACTGTTTCCCAACAGATGCACGGAGAGGAGCAGCAGCATAAAGCAGTCCCGGGAGACCAAGGTTCCTCCTCGCTTGCCGCGCTCTTCGCCTGCCCTTTCCCTCTTCTTCGACGTCTCGCCCTCCGGCCGCGGGCAGCGTCCAGGCGCTGGGCTGGGCTCCTCTCCCGCCGCCCAGCCTTCCCCGCCGCTCTCACCTGCTCCCTCGACCGCAGGGAAACATGCAGACGTCCCCGACGGATATGCCCAGGAAGAAACTTCTCCAGCGGGCGAAGAAGCCCTAGGGAGCCCGTCGGCAGCCGGGGCGGAGGAGGCAGGGAGGGCGAGTCACCCTCTTTGCTGGATGGTGCAAGCGGCTTGCCGGGAGGGGCGCTCGCGGGAGCGGCTCGGCCGAGATGCTGCCCCGACGGCTGGGGCTGCCCGGCTGAAGACGAGCCGGTCCCTCCGCGCCAGCGCCGCAGCCTCCCCGAAGCCGTCGTGACCTTGGGCGCCTCGGATTTCATGAGCGCCTCTCGCGTCTCCCGCGCCCTCTGAGATCTCCCCCTCCTCCCTCCCCCTCCCCGCAACTCCTTCCCTTCCCCACCCCCTCATGGCTGCATCAGAAGAAGCGACTGGCTGCTTTCTCCCCAGAGGCCGGTCTCAGAGCGACCCCAGCATCGCCAGCGACGCGGGGGGCACGGAAGGCGAGGGGCCCCTCAACGAGCAAGGTAAGCCCCGGAGCCCGTCTCCTCCGCGGCTGCCGGCTGGGCGAGGGGCTGGGCGAGGGAGAGAGCCGCTACGCAGGGAAGGGGGGCAGACCGCGGATGGGCGTGTGTGCTGCTCGCAGCTGCCAATCTGGCGGCGAGAGGCTGTCAGCGAAGGAGGAAAATTAGAAACATATTCCCTGCAGTCCCTCCAGAAACGCTGCGGCAGCGCCCGGGCTGGAAATAGGATTCCAGGAGGCAGCGCCGTTCCTCGTGGCGCTCGGGAGACGGCAAAGGTCGCCTGCAAGCCCCGGAGGCGATTGGGGGGCCGCGGGGCGTGTGCGGGGGGCAAGCCGCGAGCAGGCGCTGCGAGGCGCGCCTTTGGCTCCGCTCGTCCGCTGGACCCTCTGACCGTGCCGGTGTGGCATCCTCCCCGAGTTGCGTGTCCTCATAACAGCCCGTCTAGGTAGGCCGTTTTCGAGGGTCTTGTCTTACGAACGCAGTGGGAGGAAAAGGATTTGCCCAAGGGAGCCCCGAAAGGCCTGGCAAAGGGCAGGTTCCGATTTCCAAGGGCAGCCTAGCAGATGGACCAGCAGCATAGCGCCCCCGCCCCGACCTTCGCTCCGAGATGCTTCCCCGATCAGCACCATCCGCGATGCTGTTTGAACCCACGTTCGAAGAGGCCAGTCCCTTCCTTCCCCTCACTCCCCCCCCCCCCCCCCCCCCCCGCCACAGTCGTTTTGGGACCACTCCATTTCCGTCCTCCCAGTGCCAGCCTTTCCCAAGGGTGTCCAGTGTGAAGCGGCGAAGGATGTTTTGTCCCGGAGAGCTGCTGGGCACCCTCCTCTCTCTTCTCTCACCGCTGCTCTGCCCTCACCGCATCCAGCCCGCCCTCCAGCCTCCTCTAAAGCCACGGGCGTAGCAAGTGTATTTTTAGCCAATGGAAGGACCCAAAACGATGCTCCTGCATCCTGTGGGTAGGGAGCTGAGACAGCAGGACTGCTTCGAGTGCCTTTGTTGGGTACCACAGAGCCTGGCTCCTCTGGGCAAGAGACGTGCATGCTGGGTTTGCCCCTCGCTACTGAGTGAGGCAGGGCGGAGAGAGAGAGAGAAATGTCTAATAAAGCAGAAGTGGATAGGCTGTTGGCACGAGGTCACCATGGAGATGGTGGAAGCAGAGTAATAATTAAGTCAATGCCCCCCCCCCCTCGCACCCCGCTCAAGAAAGCAATTTTTGCTACACGCATCTAATCCTCTTAGGAAGTGCAGAGTGTGTTAAAAGTGTGTGTGTGGGGTGGGGGATAAGTCTGCTTTTGCAATCACTACTTTCTCTTTTTATATGGAAAAAAGGGGAGGATTTTGACCATACTGAAGAATCCACACCAGCCCCCTTTGCCCCCAGCCCCATTCACTTCAGCTTCTGTTGAAGCATAAACTCTTGTCGTTGAGGTACAAACTCTCTCAGGATTTCTCAAAAGAGCAGAAAGGGCATGGTGAGAGTCGATGGGGGGTTGGACCTGTGTGTGTATGTGTAAAATTATAAGCACAATTGCTTCTAGTCCATGTGAAATATGAGATAGATTAACAGAGCCATAATGGCAGGTTCTGTGACAAGAGAGATCTACTGCCAATCATCTCGAAGGCCCAATAGCATGTGGCTTTATCCAAACAGTGGGCCGTAGAAGAGTGACAGGGTCTCTTTGTGAGGAGCCGTTTACCCAGGGTCTTCATTAAATGCATCAAAGGGTGGCATTTTAGCACTTAGACATCAGGACAATCTGTGTAACTAAGAGAAATGAGGAGGGGACCCTGTTTTCACTCCTTGTAGGCTCACCACCCATGTAAAAATAAAATATGCTCTCCTTTGACCTCTTAGCCTCATAGCCTTATTATAGCTTGGGTTTCCTTTGACCCTTCTCAAACGCACTCTGCTTCTTCCATTGTATAGAAAATGTCCCCCTCTTCATTATTTTTAATTATTATTAAGCATTTTGCGTGCTTGAAAGCGTCTTTCTTTCTTTCTTTCTTTCTTTCTTTCTTTCTTTGGGTATTGAGCAATCCCTCAAGAGTGAGGAGGCAGTGGTTATGATGAAAGCTGCTTTAAAAATAGACAAAGTGGACATGGTATCCAAGAAAGCTTGGGCCACAGTAAAGTAGTTACTCTTTAAGGTGCCATAGAACAGTTTGTTGTTAAACAGAAAAGCTTCTTACAGAGACAGTAGTTTTGTTTATTTTTAATGCAGCACATAAACTTACAATAAGCCCCTCTCAATCACCATGCCAGAATTTCTGCACCAGACCAGTCCTGATCTATTGAAATCTGAGCTCAAAACCTGATTTGGGTTTGATATAAATCAAGGGAACACTGGTTCTGTTTGTCTATGAAGCAGAGCCTTGGAGTCTTCCTTTTCACAGCACTACTTGCCAAAAGAGACCATCCAGTTAATAATAAAGACTGGCTGCATCTGAGGTTCAATTCCCACAATCTAATAACTGAGGATCCTTGTTGCTCTGGAAACATTTTTTTAATGTGTGGATAATAAGAACAGCTGATGAATCTTCGCTGCCCAACCGTGCTGGTATGCCAAGTCAGGGGAACAAAGGATGCCACCAACAGAAATGTTAGACTTTTGCCCTGAGGGACAATAGTGTCTGAGGACAGGCATGTTATTGATGAGAGTTCGCATCTGAAGGCAGCAGAAACCATACATTCTCTTAATTTCAGTTTCATTCTCTGTCTCCCAGTCTCTAGGTAATGAAAACCAGTGTCGGCAGGCTTGCCAACAGATAGACTGTGTCTGATTTTTTTTTAAAGCTTTGTTTGAAGTAGGAGAGAAGGAAACACTTTTTTTTTTTCCTGGAAGCAAGTCCCTATTTGCATGAAGCACGTGAAACTATTTTGTTATGTTTTTCCTTAAACAATATCTAAATCAAGTCTAGATATTAAAATCAAAGCAAGAAAGCCATGTACAACACCCTATGGAATAGATGTGGAATAAAACACATGTGGCTTCAAACAGCTCAGTGTGTGGTGCTAAATGAAAATGCTTATAATCCTGTACGCCACTATTGTGCCTTTGTTTCCATCCTTTTTGTAAGCTGCATATGCATATTGCGGGATAGACTAAGAGGACAGTCTTTCACATGTGTGCTCAAGAGTTAATCCCATTGAGTTCAATGCAACTTACTTTCACGCTGTTTTACAGCATTTAGAAGCTTGAGGGGATTTGTATTCTGGCTTGATTTCAGCAGCATCCCATTGAAGGGAATAAATGGCATTCTGTCACTTTGGTGCTGTGAAGGCTGCATTCCTTCCAGTGGTGTAGGATCAGCTTTAGAGAATGCTGTTTCAGATCATAGATTACTCCAGCTGGGGCTCATCACGAGATATGGGAACTCTTTTGCCTTGTCTGCCCAAGTTCCTCAGTTGTAGATTTTTCCCAGTACTTCTCGGGGTTGGAGCACTGCAGTGGGAGTTGTGGATAGTTCTGGCTGCACCTCTTCCAGTGATATCTCTGAGGTGCAAAAATGGATAAAAATGGCCAACCAAATTCATCCAAGAAGTTTGGCACCTTTCCTATGATGCTTTTTAGTTTGGAGGGCAGAGGCCACAACAGAGGTGTATCAAATAGTGCAAGATGCAGAAAAATGGCTAAAGGGATGTTTCTCTCTTCCGTAGCCCCATACCTAATTGTGATCCAATTGAGTGTTCAGGATATACAGAAGAAAGCGTGTTAATTTTGGGTAGGAAATGTGTCTTCTAGGTGCTGTGGACTACCGCTCACAAAAGCCTCAGTCAGTGAGTCCACTGGATCCAGGTTATGTTGCCTTTTCCTGGGTTATACTGTTGGACCCAATCTGCTTCTAATTTTTCTTACCTATATGAACAATTTAGCAGGGAAAGAACAGAACAATAGCCAGATATATGGTAATGGTTGACAGACTAGTTTACAATCAGTAAGACCAGAAATCTTCATGCTGCAGACATATTTACCTGAGTGTAAGACCCTGTAAAGTGGGACATACTTCTGAGTAATTGCAAAATACCCAATAGGAAAGACTGAGTATAGCAAAATTGTGGCATTTTGCAGCAATAGCCAGACTGCCATACGATAGGGAAATGGTCAAAAAGAGATAAATGTATGGAGAACTGTGAGTCATGACTTGATTTTTGTAAAATCCAATTTGTTAATGCATGTATGTTTTAAGATGAATTTCATAATGCAACATTTATCTTCAGGTATCAGTAGATAGGAAAATTCAGACATCAATTTTTCTCCCAAGTTCCATAGTGTTTAACTATGGACTCCTTTTGATTGATGGACTGATTGATGTACAGTTATTTTTATGACTATTGTGTTCTTTTGCTCTTCCTTTTGAAGAGTCGGTGGGGAGGTGGTGGTGGTGGGGGGAGAAAGACAGAGAAAGAGAGAGAGATTATTTCTTTTTAAAGGCATCTGAAGCTTCTGCAAAGGCTCACTGGACTCATAAAGTGCCTTGCCAAAAGAAGGTGCTAATGGCCACTGGAGTATTAAACACGTTTATGGGAATGGGTCTCTTGAAGGCAATTGCTTGTGACAGCTCAGGGTGCCATCCTATGCATATTTAGACAGAGAAAGATCTACAACCTTGTGGCTGGCTAGGGAAATTGGACTTGTTTTATGCCTAAGCATATCGTGGGTTGTGCTTAAATGGAACATCTCGGATCTGCAGGAAACGTTCAGCGTGTGCAGCAAATGCTTGGTTTCACTGTGGCCCCCTTTCCCTGCCCTGCACATGCCAGGCGTGTGGCACATGATTTACCCAATTATCCTCATAGCCTATGGGCTGTTGCCATGCTGTCCAAGCCCACTGAGGTGTGTGGCACAGGATGGCTTCCGAGTCACCCCATAACCTTACAACTGGCCTGTGAAGAATAGGAAAGGACCAATGAGCAAGTGGCTGAAATATGGCAAAAGGTCCCACCTCTTCCCCAGGGG